TATATATATATATATATAATTTCTGTCTGTTTGGTTTGGTCGATCACTCTAAGTACAGCGACCGTGAGCCTCAGCCACTGTCGCTATGGAGAAGAAGCCAGACAGAGGCTTGAATCAGAACAGTTTCAGATTGCTTTGTTGTTGCATTCAGCATCGAAACACTGAACTGTTACATTTATTCAAAATGTATCCAAAAGTGTTGAATGCCGTATCAGATAGTAGGTGGCAAAAAACAGTATTACTACAGTTAAGTCTGTTTTGTTATTTGAAGCGGAATATCCGAACAACCCACAATTAATCCACTTAAACATTTCTCCTTACGTAAAACTGTGAGTGTGACCTGTAAATTAACCACATCCTTCACTGAGATAATGAGCATGGTGGGCTGGCAATCAGTAAAAATATGTCTGTCAGAAGTTGTTTGTTTGTTGGTAGCAGACTCAGGCTTACGCTCCTCCACAGTATTATAACAAATAATAAGAGAAATATAATAAAAGGTATGTAGGTAAATAAATGTAACACCATAAAAATATAAAACATACAGTAGATAGCTTATAGAGCAAAATTTTAAATCTGTCCTGCATCTGGACATGTATAAGGCAAACCATTTCAAATATGTGTACATACATACATACATACATACATATATATATATACATATACCTATATTAGGTTCCTACAAATCTGTGGCAACAGTGCACCTTAGTGGGCAGTGATAATCAAGATTAGCATCTCCTGATCCTCTATTGAGGTGGCATATAGAAGTTTGCTTTAACTGAAAATAGCTTTTCAAAACTTTATAATCTTTGTCTTCTCAATACTGGCTGTGTACAACGAAGACCTACAGCAGAGAACATTTGACAGTGACCCAACTCATTGCTTATTGTGCAGGTTGCAGACCTGATATGGAAACCCAGTATAGCTGGTATTCAGAAAAAAAAGTATTCAGAATGTATTGCTCACCATCATTTCTTAAAAATGCTTAGCTTGTAAAAACCTGTTTAAAAGTTTAAAATAAAAACATCATATTTAAAACAGTATCAAAAATGTGCAGTTTCTCACATTTGCATCTCCATCTCGGCTCCACTACTTGCCTTGTATTCATTGGCAGCAGGAGTAAGAGAGTTGTCTGGGTTCAAAGGGCATTGCTCAGGTTGCTTTGCTGTGCTGTGTGTTGTGTTTTCAGGGCGACAAAGCTGCCTTAAGTTCTGTAGAAACAAGATGGTGAAACAACAATTCAGTTCAATTCAACTTAATTATCATTTAACACAATATGCAGGTGCACAAGTAAGCAAAAAGGAGGGCTGAGGCTTCACATAGTGCAAATAAAAATAAAAAAGGGGGCCGGCATAAAGCAACAAACATGACATAAAAGACATGTACAACTCGAATAAATGAGTTAGTGTATGTCTGAGTTATGTAACAGAGCTGTGCAAACTGTAAACACAGCAATAATGCAAAGGAAAGCTGTATTGATCTGTGCAATGGTGTGTAAAAATGGCAGTAGTGATATACATCTATATTTAAATATGGCGGAAGTGCAAAAGAGAGTCTTTAACATTACAGTTAATCTGTAACCGACTGTACTATAATGTTACAAGTAAATGTAGCAACAGTTTAACAAATACTGAGGAGCACTGAGGGAGGAATATTAAAATCTTGTACTTGATCCCCTAGCTTTTCCCCTAGAGCCACCATGAAGTTCCCATTTGTGTTTTTTAGTGAAATGTCTCCGTCTACAATTATTAGACGGATTGAAATTTGGTACATTCAGGATGACTTGTAATAACTCTGGTGATCCTCTGACTTTTCATTATCATTGCATGTTTGCAGAGATGCTGTCTGAACTATACAGGGTTTGGCTGTCCTGGCCTGTTTGGGCCACACCAGCATATTGAGGATTAGAGTAATCCACCCGGAATTTGAACTTGCACATACTTGAGTGGCCAGTGCAGTGTGTTGCTAGATGATGTTGCATTGACTTTTTGCCAAATTAAGTTGAGTCAAGTTCAACTTTTTTTGCCGGAGCCGCTGTGTTGGTACCCCCCGTGGTCGTACTGAAATGAGGAGGCTGAGATTTGTGGTAAGCCTTCATGAGGCGAGCGTAACCAGGTGAAACTACCAGATATAGACTGAGGTTTTTGAGACTAACTCACAAAAAAACTGTGTATAGTGTATATTTTGTCTAATATTTGTTCGAAATAGTTTTAATAGAGTTGAAACGATTAGTTGACTTATCAGTTTGTGCTATTGTGATAATTGAATAGTAAATGTTGTCATTTTTCGTCACACTTTCCTTTGTCGTACATGATAGTAAATTAAATATCTTTGGGTTTTTGGACTGTTAGTTGAACAAAACAAGAAATCTGAATACTTTTTTTTTTACTTAATAACCTTTTAAAATAATATATAGTTTCATTGATGATTGATAATGAAACAGCCCCAGTTCTTAATGATATTGGCATCCGTTGTGTCATGTATTACATGGTACAAAACAGGCCTGCGGACTTCACTGTCAAATAAAATGGTGGGAAAAATATGAGTCTGCATGTAGAAACTCATAGACACATACAGGCAAAAACTTACAATTAGACCCTACATAAAAACCTTTCACACATTTTTGAGCGTCATTAGTGTCAAGTTGAGTATTTTTGTGGAGCATGGTGGCATGTGCAGCTGCATGCTCTTGACCTGCATGTCTGGCTTGAGGGCCTCATTGATATACTGCTGTTCCTCCTGAAGGCTTTGAAAACTTAAAGTATGTTGTTGTGCACTTATTGGATACTTGTTGTACAACAGTACTAGTAATTGTGGCAGAAGTTAAATAGTTCTCATTGTTGAAAAGTCCTGAGTGGGCTGTTAAAACTTAATCTAGCTACATGGCATAAATAGTATGATAAATTATTTTGTTGTTGTTACAGCCATAAGACTCTCTGCCTTTCAGGTCAAAAATCACAGACGACTCTACAGTCTGAAGTCTGAGTAATTATGATAAGCAAGAATTAAAGCTATAAAACCATTAATCTATGAATTACACTTGTAAATTATTAATAAAATGTTAACAAAATAAGTTGTGTTTAGTTAAAGCCAATTAAAGGAGCAAAGGTCCTTACTCCTATCAAGACAAGAGTAAAGCACCACAACAGATAATGTATAAAAAGCTTTCATATTAATACAAAGTGATTTAATATTGTAATGATCACATTAGTGCTGCAACTAATGATTATTTAATATCAATTAATCTGCTGACTTGTTTTTATTAATCGTTTGGTCAATGAAATGTGAACATAGTGAGAAATGCCCCTTGGTAAATTTTAATGTATAAGCGTTTCGTCCGACCAACAGTCCAAAACCTAAAGACATTCAGTTTATTATCACAGGAGACTAAGAAAACTAGAAAATATTCACATTTGAGCTGGAAATGGTAAAAATACAACTACAATGAAAATTTGTTTATCAAAATAGTTAATAAAATCTAATACTATTAGACCTTTTTCACAGCAGCCATTTTGACATGAAGTAGTAGAGTAAACACAACTGTTACCAATGATACTAATTAAGGCTCAGTCCCATTTAGATCAAACAGAGTCAACGTGCTGCTATTGTGCATGTTGGCTTACTGAAAAGGCTCTGTCACACTAAATGGAACAGAGCCTTAATTAGTATCATCCATATCACCTTTGTTTATTATTTATTCATAATACTTACTTTTAATACTTTTCTTTACTGAGTACATACCTGCCATACTGTCCCTTTCATCTGAGCCATTTTAAAGAGCATCCACAGAGGAACCAAGAGAACACAGAACAGTCCTAGGAACCAGCCCAGAGCATAAGCCCAGGTCGGGTAGACGTAGGTCTTGTTGAACTTGAGAGGCTTGTACTTCACCAGTGAAAAGATAAAAGTACCCTGACAGGGACAAAAAAAAGTATTTTAATACAATTTCAGTGAAATCAGGTGTTTGACAACACTTTCAACCAAAACCTCTCAAAAACTGACACACTGACTTTTACCACCAGTTCAGTCCACTCAGTGTAGTCCACTTTGTTAAGTTTATATGGCCAAAACTATTTGGAAAGCCCTGTCACATACACACTTTTTGTACTTTTGGTCTGAGCGGGGTTTCCCTGTTTTGGCTATGCTGTTGCAAAGAAACTATCTTAATCCTGATTTATGTATGAAATGGCTTGACTGGCCTCCACAGAATCCTGGAGCCAGATTTCACAAGGACAGACTTTGACACAGATTTAACTAACAGTCAGACTTCAGATAGATGTCATCCTTATCAAAAAACTGTACGGTTCTTCACTATCTTAAAGGACCAGTGTGTAGAATTGAGTGTTTAGCGGTGTGATTGCAGATAGGTGGTTACATTAATTAATTAATTAAGAGGATATAATAAATTAATCTGAAATGGACCTTTCTCATAATTACTACTTTCACTTTTGGTACTGTTAAATATATTCTAATTCTAATACTAGTGAAATTTTGCATGCAGGACTTGTAACCGAGTATTTATACACTGTGGTATAAACGAATAAACAAAGGAAATTTCATTTTTTGTAGATTCCGGCGGCCCCTGTGGACAAAGGTGGTAGTGTTTCCACTGGCTTGTTTCATTTATTTCAAGGAGAATCCAACTGAATTCAACCCTGGTGGCAGGCTTAAAACTGACTGACTGGAGGCCACATACTGTATGTTTGGATTGTTGTACATCCACTGTTAACACCAACTTGAAATACTGACTTGGAGCACTGATTGTATCATGATAGTTCATTTCCTAACACCTGATTTGCGGTAGGTTGCTTCTTTTCTTCTCAATTTGTATATTATTATTATGACCGGTTGACATATCATTCCCTCCTTCTTGTTTTTAAGTACAGAGGCAGTTTGAGGTGAAAATGGTGGCAGACAGGGAGACAGTGATGGGGAAAGGTGTAGCAAAAAATGTTTTCTGTTAAAAGTCAACACACAACTTGTTTTAGGCTTCCTGAATTAAATACCATAGAAACATAGTTGGTTATATTACTTTCTCCTCCCTCTGCATGACTTCACAGTTAGCAATATTTTTCTTCAGACTGAGATCTTTCAGATGTAGCCTTCTGACCAATGAAATTCTCAGGAAACACTTTTCATCTCACATTTTTTAAATCCTCACTTCATCTCTTCCTCATTTCCCACGAGGCAGTGATACAATTTGAGGAAAATTAAAAAATCCAAAGCAAAAATGTCAGATTAATGACCAAAAAGAAGCCAAAACTGCTTAAATTGTCATTTGTTCATCACCTTTCTCCGCGACTTTGCCATCTAGATTATGCACAAATACATCAAACTACTAGTTGTTGTTGTTTGTTTGTTTTTTTACAGTTGGGAATCAAATAAACTCAACTTAACTCACCAGACAAACAGTGGGAGTAATGTAAAGCCAGCAAATCTTCATTAATGGCCATGGGCGATAACCTATCATGTCTTCAATGTTGTCATAGAGACGATCTGCACCTGGAAATCAAAAAGAGTTTAAAAAAGTTTTAAATTAAAATCTGTAGAAACTAAGATGAATATTATTCAGTGTTAACATCGGTTATTAATAAATGGTTATGTGAGATATTACAGAAAATTAATCTCAGGAAAAGGTTTTATTGAGAGGAAGTGAAAAGGACAAAAACATGTCAATTTATGGGTTATAATATGCCTCAAGATTCAATGCGACTACTCTTCAGTGACCTTCTTACCTGTAAAATGTTACACTAATACTTTAAACTTCACATATACGCTTAAAGTCAGTTCTTTTTATAAAGCACATCTAAAGAGATGTATAAAAACCTGTAAAATCTTTGTAAACAGAGACTTGTAGCATAGAAAATGACATACTCGCAGTGGGATATTAAAACTAAAGATGCAGACCAAAAAGTAAGGAAGGAAGACATTTTTAGGTGGTATTCAAGATCAGCTATTGTGGGATTACATTTCATTAATGGCACACTTCACCATGTCAAACATTTCTCATGCCCTAACCACAAACCCTGCTGAGGCACTATTTAAATCCCTCTCGACAAGTTGGCAGTGTTAATGTAGTGTGTATAGAGCTCCCTTAGATATTTTGAATTTATTCAGATTGACAGAACGAGAGACTAAACGCCCTTCCTCAAGAGGATCAAATGTCTATCAGGCTTAAATAAGCTTGAACCGAGAGAGATGCAGAGAACAAAGCTGAATGTAATGGAGAACATAAGAGTTAGTGAGGGCAAAATATGTAAGATATCAACCGACCACAGTTGTGGGATATCACTCTTAAGTCTGACGGCCTCACTGGTTAGGTCATTTTGTTTGACTCCAAAAAACACAGCTAACTACTGAATAAAGGCTTTTTAATAATATGTCACAAGGAATACATACCATGGTATGAAGTGGACTTTTTATTTGAACAATAACCAAAACCTTAAGAAAACTTTTAAAACTAACAATGAGGTCAAATGAAGATTATTTCAACAGGCATAAAAATAAGAGCTGGATCCGGAATATTGTTGATTAATGCAGGATAATCATAATGACTCACCATATATCCATCCAATTGCTATCGACTGACACACTGAAAGAAGGAGAAGATTGTTGCCACTGCAAACATAATGGTCAAAAAGTTGAAGGAAGTACAAGCCGCCCTGCAGGAAGATAAGGGTCAACTGTTACTGTAAGTCAAACACAAATACAACACGTACTCTTGAACAAATTAGATTTTTCAGCATCCTATCAGTTCTAGGACAGATTGTAAATTAATTAATCAATGGTGGTGGTTGATTAATCAATACTGGTTTGTTTTTGGACATTACGCAGGCTGTGAACAGACCACAAACCAAGAAGGGTTCTCACCTCAGTGACGAGAAGGAGGCCGAGAAAGAAGCAAATAGTGCAGAGACAAAGAAGCAGCAGCTCTCGACGATAAGCTCTGCGAAACACAGTGGGGAACATGTCTGTCACTGAGGTCATCAGGCACTCCAGACTCACAAACTGCAAGAGACACAGACCCATGAGTAACGTTAAATACTGCAATTAACAACAATAAAACTAAATGAGGATTTACAACTGCATAACAGATATATTCTGTTCTCACCTGTGTATCAGCACCCAACAAGATGACCATGACGAAGAAACATATAGCCCATAACTGAGGTAAAGGCATCATGGCTACTGCACGTGGATAGGCAATAAATGCCAAGCCAGGTCCTGTATTTGAGAACAGTCAGTTTTTTAAAAATTTTGATTACTTTTAAAGGACCAGTGTGTAGGGTTTATTGGCATCTAGTGGTGTAGTTGCAGATCACAATTCACTCGCTACACCCTCCCCTTCCAAGCGAGAAGGAGAAACTACGGTGGCCATAATGGGCATGAAAAACTTGAATTCCCCCATCAAGAGCCAGTGTTTGTTTTGACCCTTATGGGCTACTGTAGAAACATTGCAGTTCAACATGGTAGACTCTAAGGAAGGCGACCCGCAGTGTCTTTACATGTTCTAAGGCAACAAAAGCACAACAATTCCTATATTCAAGTGATTATACACTAATAAAAACACGGTTAAGCATATTTTATTCCATTTCTGCCAATAGCTCCTCCTAAATGTTCCACACTGGACCTTAAGGGACAAGATTCATCCTATTGTGTAATCATAAATCATGAACCTAACTTCTACCATCAGGTACAGATTCACCCAGTTGCTGCAGACATGGACCATATTGACTTGACTGCATTATTTATTTCCTGTGGTTCATTAATTGCTGCAAACTTTCTGCTTTTCCCAGTCAACGTAACGCACTGAAAGGTTGGAAATCTCACAAATGTAAACTTAAGTGATCATGACGTTTCTAAAACCAGAAGCAGTTTTATTGAATAGATTAAGGTCAGGAAGGGTGTTTATTGTCTTAAAAGTAGGATTAAAGGATGTCATGAAACTCATTTTGGCCATTACTGTATCAGCAGTGTTTTTTAGTTAAGAAAGGATATTTCAGGAGGTTTGACTAAAATGCTCAATTCTGCAGTACGTTATCATGCAGGAAGTTAACAATTCAAAATGGCGAGTCAAACCAGACCAAAATAAATTTTTCATCCAATCACAGTCTTGGTATTATAGCACAAACAACAGCTAAACTTGCAATCTGTTCTACAAGCAATATGATTATTTGGTGGTCTTACCAGAAGCAGCCACTTCAGATATTGGTAGTCCTTGTTCGTACGACATAAAACCCAAAACTGAAAAGATTGCAAAGCCAGCCACGAAGCTTGACCCGCCATTCACCAAACACAGAACAAATGTGTCCCTGTGGAAACAAACAAAAAGTATTTAGCAAATCCCTCTTTTGTATTTTTGTTGTAAAACTGAACTCACAGAACACGTTGGGCTGCTACGGCTGTATAACGTTAAGGTGTGGTGGATCGTCTTTGTATGGAACCCGGTGTAATTATCTGCCTTTTATTAATTCTGCTTTAAAGGGGAACTTGGCAACTC